GAGATATGGACTTGACCACGAAAGCTTAACCTTGTTCACTGATCCATGAAATGAGGTTGAGGTCAAGTGAAAACTGTCTGACAGGCATGAGGACCTTGCAAGGTACGCACATACCAAATATAGTTATCCTATTACTCATAATAAGAGAGAAATTCAGAATACTAAAAATCTTAACTTTTTTTCAAGTAGCCACTGAACCATGAAAATGAGGTCAAGGACAATGGACATATGACAGACGGAAACTTCATAACGTAAAGCATCTATATACAAAGTATGAAGGATACAGGTCTTCTACCTTCTGAAATAGTCAGCTTTTAAAAAGTTTGATAACGCCGCCGTGACCGCCGCTGGATCACTATCCCTATGTCGAGCTTTCAGCTACAGAAGTCGCAGGCTCGACAATAATAAAACCAAATATCAGCAAAAATTGACATTGACCAATGAACCATGAAAATGAAGTCAAGGTCAGATAAAACCTGCCAGTCATACATGTACATATCAAAATCATTCCATACATCAAATATAGTTGACCTGCTGCTTTATATAGTATCCGAGATACAGACTTGACCACCAAAACTTAGGTAGCACTCCACAGTTAGAAAATGAAATTAAAATTGAACCACAAAATGTTTAATCATCTTCTATTCCTGGCTTTCTAATACATTAAACCAACTGTTTGTGTCATACATGTGCATATGTATGTAATCAGTATGTTCCATAGATTTGATTTTCAAAAGTTAAAATGGGTGAAATATAATTTCTTTTTGTGTATCCATGGCAAGATTCTGCATTTATTTACCATAAAATATTGCAAAAATGTGCATGAAAATGTCACATATTCCCCCAAAATTTGGTTCAAACTAGAATTTCAATGCCTTTGAGTGATACCTTTTCTGAAACTCTTGACATTAATCTACCAAATGATCAAATAATAAAATGCTCCGCTGGGGCGCAGCTTGATACGACCGCAGAGGTCGAACCCTGAACAGTTGGGGCAAGTATGGACACAACATTCAAGCTTGATACAGCACTGAATTTGGATTGTAATTAAATATTTGACACAGCATAGGTTTCTGACACAGAATGAAAGTGGTCTAAGAACTTAAAAATTTTTAATTTACCTATTCAAACCATATCATTATTATTTGCTTTTATATATAAATCAGAAATAACCAATTTAAAATGGAAAATTTTAAAGAAAAAAAAAGGGAAACCCCACCCCCCCCCCCCACCCCCCCCAAATTTTTTGAACCCCCTTATGATTCATCACCCCCAAACTCAATCCCAACCTTCCCTTTGTGGTATGGTACCTTGTAGTACAATTTCAGAGAGATCCATACACTTGAACACAAGTTATTGTCTGGAAACAAGAAAAATGCTTATTTTTGGCCCCTTTTTGGCCCCTTATTCCTAAACTTTTTGGGCAATTACCCCCAAACTAAAACCCAGCTTTCCCTTTGTGATATGGAACCTTGTAGTACAATTTCATAAAGATCCATACACTTACACACAAGTTATTGTCATGAAACTAGAAAAATGCTTGTTTTTTGCCCCTTTTTGGCCCCTACTTCCTAAAATGTGGAGGCAATTACCCCCAAAATCAATCCCAGCATTCCCTTTGTGATATGGAACCTTGTGATACAATGTCAGAGAGATCCATATCCTTACACACAAGTTATTGTCATGAAACTAGAAAAATGCTTGTTTTTTGCCCCTTTTTGGCCCCTAATTCCTTCAAAATTTGGAGGCAATTACCCCCAAAATCAATCCCAGCATTCCCTTTGTGATATGGAACCTTGTGGTACAATGTCAGAGAGATCCATACACTTACACACAAGTTATGTCTGGAAGTTACAAAAATGCTTATTTTTGGCCCCTAATTCCTTAACTGTTGGTACTATAACCCCCAAAATCAATCCCCACCTTCCTTTTGTCGTATTGAACCTTATGGTAAAATTTCATAGAGATCCATTCTCTTAAACTAAAGTTAGAGTGCGAAAACTAATGTGTCTTCGGACGACAACGACGACGACGACACCAACGTCATACCAATATACAACCACAAAAATTTGTTTGCGGTCGTATAAAAATTGGGTGTCTTTTGCCTCATTTTTTCATAAAATTTAATCACAAAGTTTGTGCGCCGTAAATTAGTTAAAAGGCTTAACTAATCAGATTGATACAAAGCACAAAAATAAATAACAAAGACACAAATGACACACTTAGAGTACTCACAGTTACTTAAAGCTAGTTCAAAACCAAAAACAACTAATACAAAAATTAGGTATCTAAGACTTGTATATTATGGCTACATTATATGTTATCCACTAATATAAAAATATTTGTGAGTACCTGTACTGAACTAACACAAACCATGCCTGACTGTTATGGACATATTGACAAAAATTATGAAGTGATACTTTTGAAGGATTTTTTTTATCTTTTCTACTGTCATAAAAATGAATGAGGACATCAAATAAACATGTGATCACCAGGATTTACTAAATATGGATATTTCAAAGCAAACACACATATGATCACCCAGGAATTACTAAATATGGATATTTCCAAAGCAAATAAACATCCATCTTCGCTAGCCAAGGAATACGATCCAGTCCCCTCCTCTCCACCCTTGGCAGATTAAGCCAACATTTGTGATTACAATGCTACGCCATCTACCAGTAGATAAAAGTCACGCCCATTCCGACTACATCATTCTTGACCAATGGTAGCTCTGGAACTCTCTTCAGTGTGGAGGTGTTAAAAAGGTTGTGTCTAGTGTTTACAAATTTCATGAAGCAGAAACCGAAAATATATGTTGACATTCCAACATTTTCGCGAGAAATATACACAGGAACAGGATTTGGGGGTAAAGACTTGTTGCACAATCAGCACGTGGCAATTGTTGATTTACATTTTCTACATTTACATGTGATCATCTTTGCTACAACTGCGACCAATGGGAATCATTACCTCGTGGATCCTATATTCTATCTTAATCCGCCAAGGGTGGAGAGGAGGGGACTGGATCGTAACCCTTGGCTAGTGAAGATGATACACATCTGATCACCAGGGAATTACTAAATATGGATATTTCTAAAGCAAATAAACATTAGATAAACAGGATATAATAAATGTGGATATTTTCAAGGCAAATAAACACCTGATCACTCTGTAATAACTAAATTTTGATATTTCCAAAGCAAATAAACATCTGATCACCCAGGAATAACTAAATATGGATATTTCCAAAGCAAGTACACATCTCCTCACCTGGGATTTTTAAATATGGATATTTTCAAAGCAAATAAACATCTGATCACCAGGGAATTACTAAATATGGATATTTTCAAGGCAAATAAACACCTGATCACTCAGTAATAACTAAATATGGATATTTCAGAAGCAAATAAACATCTGATCACCCAGCAATAACTAAATATGGATATTTCCAAAGCAAATAAACATTGTCACCCAGGAATAACTAAATATGGATATTTCCAAAGCAAATAAACATATGATTAACCTGGGAATTACTAAATATGAATATTTTCAAGGCAAATAAACACCTGATCACTCAGGATAAACTAAATATGGATATTTCCGAAGCAAATAAACATCTGATTGCCTAGGAATTACTAAATATGGATATTTCCAAAGCAAATAAACATCTGATTACCCGGGAATGATAATATGTGAATATCTCCAAAGCAAATTATCATCTGATTACCAATGAATTACTAAATGTGAATATTTCCAATGTAAATAAAAGAACAGAGTTCCAATGTCCCCCGCGTTGCACATGTTTTATCGATCAAGGGGCAATATCTAAAAAAAAAAACACTTTTTGTTGTTGTTCTTTAAAACAATTTATAAAAAAAAAAGCATGGCGGGGGACAAAAATTTTTTTTTTTATTGTATACTAAATATTTCCAACAGACCTTCAAGGGCATTACTTATAGTATACTATGTTTTATAAAAAATTGTACCCTTGAGAGAGCTGACGAGGCCATTTTCCATAAATTTAATATTTCCAAGGGTCATAACTCTTTTAAAAAAGTCGATCTTCCACCATTATAGAACTTGTCCGAGATATTGCTGATATTAACCTATAGTATAAGTTTTATAAAAATCTGGCAAGAATTGTACCCATGAGAGCGCTGACGAGGCCATTTTCCATAAATTTAATATTTCCAAGGGTCATAACTCTTTTAAAAAAAGTCGATCGTCCACCATTATATAACTTGTATGAGATATTGCTGATATTAACCTATAGTATAAGTTTTATAAAAATCTGACAAGAATTGTACCCGTGAGAGCGCTACAAGGCCATTTTCCATAAATTTAATATTTCCAAGGGTCATAACTCTTTTGAAAAAAGTCGATCGGCCACCATAATACTACTCACACACATGTCCGAGATATTGCTGATATTTACCTATAGTATAAGTTTTATAAAAATCTGGCAAAAATTGTACCTGTGAGAGCGCTAACAAGACCGGACAGAAGGACGGACACACAGACGGACAGACGGATGCCCTGTATTTCAATGTCCCCCGCAACACATTACACAGGGGACAATAAACATCTGGTCACTCAGCAATGACTAAATGTTGATATTTCCAAAGCAAATAAAACATATGATCACCAGGAATAGCTAAATGTGGATATTTCCAAAGCAAATTAACACCTGATCACCCAGCAATTACTTAATGTGGATATTTCCAATGTAAATAAACATCTGATTGCCTAGGAATTACTAAATAATGACATTTCCAAAGCAAATAAACATCTGATTGCCTAGAAATTACTAAATATGGATATTTTCAAAGCAAATTAATATCTGATTACCCGGGAATTACTAAATTTGGATACTTCCAAAGCAAATAATCATGGTCACCCAAGAATAACTAAATATAGATATTTCCAAAGCAAATAATTGCTGATTTTTAGGTAAACCAGTAGTTAATAACCAATCACCAAGTCTATAACAAACTTACTTGACTGGTTTCTTTATCTCCAGTAAGTTGATAGATTTACCAACAGGTTTAAATGGAGGTATCACAGGTTCAACTGAAAGACAAAGGTTATAATTACACTGTAGTGGAGAAATCTTGTTGATGTGAGCAAATTTTTGCCTAGTGTATTTAAAAAAAAAAAAAGAATAATTTTTTCATTAAAAACACATAAAATGTAGCAGATATGTTATTTACTGTATTGAAATTCCGAACACAAATTTACAGTGTTTTTCTTATGGCTATTGTCAAAAAAAAAAAAATTTCAAATATTTTTTACTGATGATTTAAACACAAAAAACAAAAGAAACCACTGTATAAATCAACCAAAAAAGTTGAAAAATAAACTTGTGTTTCTAGGAAGAAAAAAGTAAGTGAAAACAAGGCTGCATCAAAACAAACTGGTAACATTTTTAAAAGTTTTTTGCTGATGAAAATCGGAGAAGATTTAAAATTCCTATTTTGAAAAATATTGTTCTTTATGAAATATATCAAAATAGGGATCAATTGCAAATTATGAATAATATATGAATGACTGTACACTTTTTCGTCAAAGGAAATAGAAGCAATGTTGTGTGTACATTTATCTAAAGTCCAGTGTACAATGAATCCTATCTTGGTCAAATTCATAAGCACTCATAAAATTCATATTGTTTCAACACAAATAAAATGCTTCGCAGGGCACAGCTTGATACGACCGCAGAGGTCAAACCCTGAACAGTTGGGGCAAGTATTGACACAACATTCAAGCTTGATACAGCTCTGAATTTGGATTGTGATTAAATATTTGACACAGCATAGGTTTCTGACACAGAATTAATGTGGTCGAAGTACAGAAATAGGACATATACCTATTATGGTCCAATATCCAAAATCTAAATACATGGTTAGATTCAGCATACCAAAGAACCCCAAGAATTTAATTTTTGATGAAATCAAAAAAAGTTTAATTTTGGAGCCTTTGGACCTCAATGTGGACCTATTTGATAACAGGCCCATAATCCAAAACCTAAATACACGGTTAGTACCAGCATATCAAAGAACCACATATATTCAATTTTTGTTGAAATCAAACAAAGTTTAATTTGGACCCCAATTTGGACCAACTTGAAAACTGGGCCCAAATCAAAAATCTAAATAAATGTTTAGATTCAGCATATCAAAGAACCCCAACAATTCAATTTTTGTTAAAAACAAACTTAGTTTAATTTTGGACCCTTTGGACCTTAATGTGGACTAATTTGAAAACCGGGCCCAAAATCAAAAATCTACATACAAGTTGTCTGGAAAACAAATGTTTTTGGACAAAGACGACACCGACGACGTCATACCATAATACAAGTGGAAAAATTTTGCGGCCATATAAAAACAAATGCATATCAAAGTGCTTGTAAGCACTGAAGGGTTAAGATTGTTTTCATTAAGCAGTGGGAACTAATCAAAATTAGAGAGTCCTATAATTGTTGGTAAGTCAATGTCTTTGTAATTTATATTAGTTTTCATACTTATATAAAAGAATTACACCATGTAGTGGACAATAGACTATATTGATCAGAAAAGACAGAAAAGGCTATTGACAATAAATGAATCAAACGTTAACTTAAAGGGAAAATCCACGATTTTTTACTTATCATCTAAATATGTTCATCATAACATAAACTAGAGGCTCTAAAGAGCCTGTGTCGCTCACCTTGGTCTATGTGCATATTAAACAAAGGACATAGATGGATTCATGACAAAATTGTGTTTTGGTGATGGTGATGTGTTTGTAGATCTTCCTTTACTGAACATTCTTGCTGCTTACAATTATCTCTATCTATAATGAACTTGGCCCAGTAGTTACAGTGGAAAATATTTTGTAAAAATTTACAAAAATTTACAAAATTTATGAAAATTGTAAAAAATTGAATATAAAGGGCAATAACTCCTTAAGGGGTCAATTGACAATTTTGGTCATGTTGACTTATTTGTAGATCTTACTTAGCTGTACATTATTGCTGTTTACAGTTTATCTCTATCTATAATAATATTCAAGATAATAACCAAAAGCTGCAAAATTTTCTTAAAATTACCAATTCAGGGGCAGAAACCCAACAACGTGTTGCCTGATTGGTCTGAAAATTTCAGGGCAGATAGATCTTGACCTAATGAACAATTTTATCCTCGTCAGATTTGCTCTAAATGCTTTGGTTTCAGAGATATGAGCCAAAAACTGCATTTTACCCTATGTACTATTTTTTAGCCATGTCGGCCATCTTGGTTCGCGGGCGGGGTCATCGGACACATATTTTAAACTAGATACCGTAATGATGATTGTGGACAAGTTTGGTTAAATTTGTTTTAGTAGTTTCAGAGGAGAAGATTTTTGTAAAAGATTACAAAAATTTATGAAAAATGGTTAAAAATTGACAATAAAGGGCAATAACTCCTTAAGGGGTCAACTGACCATTTTGGTCATGTTGACTTATTTGTAGATCTTACTTTGCTGAACATTATTGCTGTTTACAGTTTATCTCTATCTATAATAATATTCAAGATAATAACCAAAAACGGCAAAATTTCCATTAAATTACCAATTCAGGGGCAGCAACCCAACAAAGGGTTGTCCGATTCATCTGAAAATTTCAGGGCAGATAGATCTTGACCTGATAAACAATTTTACCCCATGTCAGATTTGCTCTAAATGCTTTGGTTTCAGAGATATAAGCCAAAATCTACATTTTACCCCTATGGTCTATTTTTAGCCATGACGGCCATCTTGGTTGGTTGGCTGGGTCATCGGACACATTTTTTAAACTAAATACCCCAATGATGATTGTGGCCAAGTTTGGTTAGATTTGGCCAAGTAGTTTCAGAGGAGAAGATTTTTGTAAAAGATTACAAAAATTTATGAAAAATGGTTAAAAATTGACTATAAAGGGCAATAACTCCTTAAGGGGTCAACTGACCATTTTGGTCAAGTTGACTTATTTGTAGATCTTACTTTGCTGAACATTATTGCTGTTTACAGTTTATCTCTATCTTTAATAATATTCAAGATAATAACCAAAAACGGCAAAATTTCCATTAAATTACCAATTCAGGGGCAGCAACCCAACAAAGGGTTGTCCGATTCATCTGAAAATTTCAGGGCAGATAGATCTTGACCTGATAAACAATTTTACCCCATGTCAGATTTGCTCTAAATGCTTTGGTTTCAGAGATATAAGCCAAAATCTACATTTTACCCCTATGGTCTATTTTTAGCCATGACGGCCATCTTGGTTGGTTGGCTGGGTCATCGGACACATTTTTTAAACTAAATACCCCAATGATGATTGTGGCCAAGTTTGGTTAGATTTGTCCAAGTAGTTTCAGAGGAGAAGATTTTTGTAAAAGATTACAAAAATTTATGAAAAATGGTTAAAAATTGACTATAAAGGGCAATAACTCCTTAAGGGGTCAACTGACCATTTTGGTCAAGTTGACTTATTTGTAGATCTTACTTTGCTGAACATTATTGCTGTTTACAGTTTATCTCTATCTATAATAATATTCAAGATAATAACCAAAAACGGCAAAATTTCCATTAAATTACCAATTCAGGGGCAGCAACCCAACAAAGGGTTGTCCGATTCATCTGAAAATTTCAGGGCAGATAGATCTTGACCTGATAAACAATTTTACCCCATGTCAGATTTGCTCTAAATGCTTTGGTTTCAGAGATATAAGCCAAAATCTACATTTTACCCCTATGTTCTATTTTTAGCCATGACGGCCATCTTGGTTGGTTGGCCGGGTCACCGGACACATTTTTTAAACTAGATACCCCAATGATGATTGTGGCCAAGTTTAGTTAAATTTGGCCAAGTAGTTTCAGAGGAGAAGATTTTTGTAAAAGTTTACGGACGACGGACGACGGACGCCGGACGACGGACGCAAAGTGATGAGAAAAGCTCACTTGACCTTTCAGGTCAGGTGAGCTAAAAACACATTCACAAAGTTTTAAATTTATATTCCCTCTAATAACTCAGAAAATCAAGTATTTGTAACTTTTTGGTTGACATACGTCATGGGGTTGTGACGTTTTAACTTGATTTAGTGAATGCTGGGAAAAAATAAAATCTGTTAAAGTCTTAATTGCTTGTCGAATTTTTCTGTAATTAAAAAAACGCTCAGATGACAGTTTCTCATAGCTAATAACCACAAAAGACGAATTAAAGAAAATGAACACACATGTAACATTTTGCATTGATTAAATACAAAATCTTATGGTATATATTTTCGATCTAATTTTAATTATTAATAGTTGCGATTTTTTTCCGGAAATATTTATTAAACACAAATTATTTACTGATATTGAACTGAAAATATATTTCGTTTTTATTTACCTCAATAATTTCTTTTCAACGCAAAGTCTATGTGAATAGAATGTGTCTGTTATTTCAGAAAAGCATTGTTTATTTCTCAAATAGATAAGCATTTAGTAAAACTATTCGTTTATTTTACCTGAGGGCAATTAAGCCTCAAATGTAAGCTTTTACAGGTGTGAATATGTTGTCATTTTGAATGGATTAATGTCTTTGGTGTGTAAGTTTTTAAACAATGCATAAACCTGCATTACGTAATTGTGTAATAAGAGTTTTTAAGCCTGACAGGAAATCACTTGAATACCTGGACATGTCACCTCACAATACTTCTGGCAATAATTCCGTTAGCCATGCTGATGATCAAATTAGGGAAGGAACGAATTAAATAAATGTATTACATAAAAGCGTTATGAACAAATCAGATTTTGAAAACATTTTTACACGGAACACCGCTAGTTAATCATGACTTTGAACTATGAGAGAATCTATAAAAGTAATACTATAGTTTCCCTATATTTATCTGTTTCATAAACTTAGTAAAAAAAAAAAACAGTTTAAAATCTACAGACTATAGTTATTTTAAAAAACATTATTCTGTATCAAGTTAATTAAAATAAAAGGCTAGCCGATAGGTAGAAACCATGTCTGGTATAATTCTTTTTTTTGGATCTGTGAGACTGTGTATGTAAAATTGAGAATGGAAATGGGGAATGTGTCAAAGAGACAACAACCCGACCACAGAACAGACAACAGCAGAAGGCCACCAACAGGTCTTCAATGCAGCGAGAAATTCCCGCACCCGGAGGCGTCCTTCAGCTGGCCCCTAAACAAATATATATACTAGTTCAGTGATAATGAACGCCATACTAAACTCCAAATTGTACACAAGAAACTAAAATTAAAAATAATACAAGACTAACAAAGGCTAGAGGCTCCTGACTGTGTTTGTCATTACCTTGTCGGGTAAAACAACCGTACGATTGACAAGAGATTTTGACACTTAATTACCACTATGTTAGTCCCTGCTTGTTTAGGTACTTTGTGGTTTATAGTTATCACATTTTTTTTTTAACCAGGACGCCGTCAAGATTTCTACATGTAGAGAATTGATATTCTCAATTTAAAATCGATGGTGATATCTTATGTAGGAAAATAAAACATTAATATTTATGAATTTGTGCTTTTTTATACATAATGAACATAATATCAATTTTTCATTTTTTTTGCGGATCATCCCTTTAAGGCCATTGTAATCATGTTTTAATGAAGTGAAACATTATTTAGCCGAAAATCAGAATCATTTAATGTAAATGTATGCTCGAGTTATGAGTGAAGGAAGTAAAAAAAAAAACTTCAATTTGTTGGCATAAACAGTTGTTTCTTTGAAATATCATATGACCAGTCTACAAATTCATTATGCCTAGTTCTTAATTTTTTTTCAAACAACTAGCACTTAAACGATAATGTACTAAAGAACGAAAATGACACTAATAAAAACTCACTTTTTCACTCAGATTTCTACTTAATTCATCAAAGTCAATTGGAAAACATGAAAAAATGCAAAATACATCTATAAATTAATGTTTAGAAACTTCACCAGTCTTAAACTGAACTTGTTCATAAATCATAAAAACATAGGAAATTTATCATAGCAGAAGAAGAACCTAAATTTTGCATTTGAACCAGTTTGGCATCCTGTCACATGAATCTACGTCACAAAAATAGCAGTCTTGCCATAGCATAAAAGCAATTGCTTTAGAAATTAAGCATTGCATTGTATTAAGTATTGGAAGGTAATACTATGAACTGGGAGAACTGGAGATAATATCATAGTTGGTTCAACTACAATTATGGACAAAGGAAGATAACTTCAATTTTAAATACTACTTTAACAATGACATCAATGATACTTTAAGAACAGATAGATTCATGCACAATTTATGTAATTTTCTTGACAAGTATGGTTATACACAAGCATCATTTTGTAATTTAAATATCTGAACATATATTTCATTGATAAATTTCTTGATGAATTCATGGATTGGAAAGGATATATAGAATGATGAGATCAATGCATGATGTTTTATGTTTTGTTTATATCAAAAGTAGTGATAAAGTTTGGAAAATTGATAACTATCAAGCCAGTCACTTAAGGGTTATCATTGCATGAAAACAATCTTTACCCCCCAAAAATTTTGAAAATAAAACAGCAATTACTTAATTACTTCTGTACATATAACTGGGGTTGAAAATAAGCCAGAATATCCTAGGTGTTAATACTCCAAATACAAGATTAGGAAAACTCTGCAATACACTGAAATCAAACATTGTACTTACTTTTATTGGGGTCTTTCTTTGATGCTATATATAACAGACCATGAAGAAAGTTGATAGCTTCTGGAACAAACCGTCTTGATAAATAAATATACTAAAATAAGAAGAAAAAACAAGTATAGCATTACAATAGAATTGACTGAAATATGTACTGACCAAACAATCTAGTACAAATCTTTTTAAATAATAATTAACACCACTAACTAATGCATGATTGTATGATAAATCCCCAATCACTTAGACCATCTTCAAAATACACATTGGATGTTTCTATCTATTTATTTATAAAAGCACATGCATTGTATATCGTATTTGTACATAAAAATTATATTAAGTATTCATGATTTTCATGCAACTTAACTGAATTTGTAAACATGTAATAGTGTGCACCATTGAGAAATTGTAATAAAGATTTTTGCTGAGTTTGCAAAAAGTTAATATAAAGCTGACGAGCTGAAGGAAAATATGCGAACAAGAAAAAAGGAAAGTGAAAATACTTTTATGGAAATTGAATTATTCTAAATAATGTTCATAATGTGTATAAAACAAGACAATTATCAAAGTCCCTGTTTTTTCACCATTTTATTTTTTCTTCTTTCCAAAATCATTTATCCAATCTCTTTCAGCTAAAAATTTATCCATGACCTTTCTATCTCTAGCTGCAATTCACAAAACTTTTGATTTTTTTTTTTTTTAATGAAGTTATTTGGTAACAAGACTCGAATCTCAAAATCCCTGTGTTTTTTTAAATTAATATTTTCCCTAAAATCATTTGTCCAACAGATTCCATTGACAAACTAAATCAAGATACCTTCATGGAGAAACTTACTGAAATCAGATCGTTTTTGTCGAGCCTTCGACTTTTGTCGAAAAAGCAAGACATAGCAATCCTACATTCCGTCGTCGGCGGCGGCGGCGGCCACAAATATTCACTCTGTGGTTAAAGTTTTTGAAATTTTAAAATCTTTCTTAAAGTATCCTGGATTTCTACCAAACTTGGACAGAAGCTTGTTTATGATCATAAGATAGTATCCAGAAGTAAATTTTGTAAAAAAAAAATTCCATTTTTTCCATACTTTACTTATAAATGGACTTAGATTTTCTGCCGGGAAATATTACATTCACTCTGTGGTTAAAGTTTTTGAAATTTTAATAACTTTCTTAAACTATCTTGGATTTGTACCAAACTTGGACAGCAGCTTTTTTATGATTAAAAGCTAGTATCTAAAAGGAAATTTTGTTAAAATTTTGTTCCATTTTTTCCTTATTTTACTTATAAATGGACTTAGTTTTTCTTCCAGTTAACATTACATACAGTCTGCAGTTTAAGTTTTTAAAACATTGATTAGATTCATAAACTATCCTGGATTTTTACCAAACTTGGACAGAAGCTTACAATCAAAAGATAGTATAGAGAGGAATATTTATAAAAAAAATGTTCCTCATTTTGTTGAGCCTGCGATTAACAGCAAAAGTAGGCAAGACACTGGGTTCCGCAGAACCCTTACAAATTTTTGCTCTAGTTATCTTGCAAACAAAACTGAATTCTCAAAATACCTTTTTTTTCAACTGTAACTAAATTTTCCACAAAACTGTTTAACCAATTTCTGCCATAAAAGACCTGATCCTAGATCTTAATATTTATGTACTTTAAGCTAACATGATTGATATTGTATTATTTTTACTCAAGTAAATGTGTGATGGACAAAGTGACAGACAGGACATAGAGTGACATATACATGATATAGGGAATAAAAAAAAAACTAACAAAAATAATGCAGTACATGTATTATTAAGAGGCAATAGTAGTTTTAAAAATAAAAAATGAGTTTTATCTTCATAAATCCATCCAATCTGAATTAACAAGATATGCACAATAAAGTAATTTAAAGTATAATAAATTCTAGGTTGAAATGCTTTTTAAAAATGAAAGATAAATGTAATAAAATCTAGGAATTTTCTAGTCCATAAATGTCTTTTATTGTATGACAACATTAAATTCCATTTGGATTAAAGGACTATTGTCTTTTTATTTAATCTACCATGGCATATATTGACTAAATTTATTACCTACCTCTAAACATAAATTACATAAAAATAATCCAACAGCTATATCTCTTTCATGGTTCACAGGTGTCTGCAAGGCAAAAAAAAAACATTATTAAGTATTTGATTTTTACATATAACCTTTTGATAATATTTTTGACACATGTGAAAATCTTACAGTCAAATATATTAAATATGCTGTGATAAAGAACCTAACAATATAAGTCAACCAAATAATGTAATTTTAAGGATCTATATTTGTGTTTTGTCAATCTTTCCTTAAACTGTTCTTGCTTTCCTAAAATAATGACATGGTCTGCAGAGACATTTTAATATACTTGGACACTTTACTAGGACTCCTGTGCAGAAGAGTCTTTGCTCTTTCTTTAAAAAGTATGATTGATTGATTGTTGTTGGTGTTTAACGCCACTTTATGCACTATTATCTATATCATGGAAGTCAGTTTTTATTGGTGGAGGAAGCCAGAAAGCTGGGAAAGAACCACTTATCTTCGGCAGGAAAACTGACAATCTTAGTCCTGTCACGTGCAGGGTTCAAACTCACAACCTCAGTGTTGACAGGCTAGTGATACAGTAGACAAACTACTTAGACCACTCCTCAAACAAGGCCCCTAAAAAGTATGATCTCCACAGAGTATCATTAAATATGAAGTTACAAACTTCGGTTTGACCTGGCTGGAATCCAACTCAAGGTGCTAGCCATTACACCTCCAAGGCAGATTTAATCATTAGACTGCATGGATTTTTCTAGCATTCCACATGGTCTGGTATTCGGACCCATTTCCAAAAGCAAAACCCCTACATTTTTCCAAATTTCAGTAGGAAAATTCCAAAACTATCTCAAAATTTCAAACAGGAATAAATCCTCTCATTCACTTTAAAGGTGAAAAAGGCGGTAAAACATTATCACATGTGCACTTTAAGAAGTCCGGTATTTTGATACTAAATTAAAATATTTTTGAACATGTTTCTGTTTTTGCACAAAAAATGAGTTTGCATAATAGCAAATACTGAAGGAAATTCATGTGAAACAAATCGGATTCTCGATCTGATGATCAATCAGTACTGGCAGCTTGTCAAGTCAATAAACAAAATGCAAGCATTGATGATGGGCCACCGGAAACAGCACACCTAAGTGTCAAGGCAAGGCAAAAACAGATAAAAACATGTGAACTGTAGAGATATTATATCACTTTAGCATCTCCATTTCAAGAAAGTAACTTAAGGGTCACTCATGACAACTCTGTTTAAAACAATAAAATAAACAGCTGCGCCATGAGCGCATGATACGCCCGTCGTCTTGTGTGTGAATTTTTATGCAATAAGCATAAATAGTTTCTGACATACGGCGTGACATGCGAAAACCCCCCTTTTTTTTTTACAAAACTCAATATCTCTAAAATAAAATTTTGAATCAAAACCAAAAAGTATACAGATCTTTAGATTTATATAACTAAAAAGAGTGTAAAATTTTAAGCAATAATCATAAATCGTTTTTGAGATACGGCGCGACATGTAAAAACCCCCCTTTAAAAAAAAAAAAATCAATATCTCAAAAATAAAATTTTGAATCAAAACCAAAAGGTATACAGATCGTTAGATTAATATATCTTTAGATTAATATAACTAAGAAGTGTGTAAAATTTTAAGCAATAATCATAAATCGTTTTTGAGATACAGCGCGACATGTGAAAAACCCCTCCCCCTTTTTTTTTTACAAAATACTCAATAACTCAAAAATAAAATTTTGAATCATCACCAAAAAGTATACAGATCTTAAGGTTAATATAACTAAGAAGCGTGTAAAGTTTTAAGCAATAATCATAAACTGTTTTTGAGATACGGCGTGACATGTGAAAAACCCATCCCCCTTTTTTAACAAAATACTCAATATCTCTAAAATAAAATTTTGAATCATCACCAAAAAGTATACAGATCTTAAGATTAATATAACTAAAAAGTGTGTAAAGTTTTAAGCAATAATCATAAATTGTTTTTGAGATACGGCGAGACATGTGAAATAAAACACACACCTGTTTTAGTTACTAAGTCCCGTAACTCAAAAAGTTTTAATATTATTTTCACCAAAAAGTATACAGATCGTTTGACCATCATAAGAAACAACTATGTTAAGTTTCATGAAATTTAGATAAGTCATTCTCAAGTTACGGTGCGACATGTTTACGCCGAACAGACAGACGGACAGACGGACGGACGCTGGACATTTGTATACCATAATACGTCCCTTCAAAAATTGACGGGCTTGTAAAAAGTTACCTGAGCTAACATCTGACAAATAAACAACATGGTTGGCGTGGTTACAGGATGTCTGAAATCTGAGGTAGGAAACAACACTGCTACCAGCTTTAACAACAGAAGCTGTAATCAAATCAAGATATTGTTTATATCTTAATAAGTGCTAGCATCTGTTTATATTTTATACAAATTGAATTCTGAGTAACAACATAGAGAATGTTAATCATTAAAATCAGGTTAACTTTAGACCTTATATTTTAACTATTAACTGATCAAGGAACAAACTGGCTAGATCAATGTCACCAATACCAGTAAAACAACTTATATGACTTTACCATACCATAAATCTTTTCATGAACAAATTTTGTATGTATCTATTTTTTCCATGGAAACTTGTTTTTAGCTAATTGAAGTAACCTGCAAACCGTTTCCCTGCACTATAATTTTAAATACACTTTTTCATTAACCAATAAGACAAGCTAAAGTTTAAATCATACTATATAAACAATAAAATTCAAACTTACAGTATCAAGACCAGGATACAATCCCCTACCAGCCTTTCTATCACAGATAGTATCATACTCTTCTTGTCTGTCTTTAATCTGATCCAGTACTGCAATGGCTGCTGGTACTGAGGACTGCTGTGTCAGGCCATACAGAACTGGTACCAGTTTGTCAGCCAAAGAGAGGCATGGAGGTTCCTGAAGAGTCAGGTCACCATAATATTGCACCAGAAATGAGAATAATGACTGAAATAGACAACCTATGATAACTGATCTGATTTATTTATGTAATATTTTTTACATTTCAAAATCATATGTAAAACAAAAACTTTTTATAGTTTTTACTCAATAAACTGCAAGTGTTTTTGTACAGAAGACATGAAAATTTATATTCTCAAATTGCAACTATCTTTTCTATCTTTTGTCAATCTAAAAATCTTATGTTGACTGAGGTTAATGTAATTTTCATGGACTAATGACCTGCTAACCTTCAAATAATAAACTGCTTCGCTGAGCGCAGCTGGATACGCCCGCAGAGGTCCAACCCTGAAAAGTTGGTGCAAAAATGGACACAATATTCAAGCTTGATACAGTTCTGAATTTGGATTGTAATTAAATATTTGACATATTATAGGTTTCTGAATAAATGTAGTCAAAGAACTCGAAATTGGTTATATGAATTGAATTTATATTCAATTAAAGATTTCTTGCTGTTGTGCATACACTGTGCTGTTGCGCAATACTTAGTAAATCTGTTGTCAGACTATAAACAAATAAAGTTCAATTAATTCTCAATGTCATATTAGAAATTTATGAAAATGTAAAGGGAGCTTACATCAATAGATATAAACAATTCACCAAAGTTTCATGAGAATTGCTGACAGCATTTTTGAGTTATTGTCCGAAAACTGGAAAATCCCCCCTTTTTTAATGAATAAAACCCCATAACTCAGAAATGTAAAATGTAAAATTTATAAAATTCTAAACGGAGCTTACATCAATAGATATAAACAATTCACCAAAGTTTCATAAGAACTGCTGAAAGCATTTTTGATTTTTTGTCTGAAAACTGGAAAATCCCCCTTTTTTTATGAATAAAACCCTGTAACTCAGAAACGTAAAATCTAAAATATATAAAAATCGAAAGGGAGCTCATGTCAATAGATATAAACAATTCACCACAATTTCTTGCAAGTTGGTGAAAGCATTCTTGAGTTATTGTCCGAAAACTGGAAAATCCCCCTTTTTTTAATGAATAAAACCCCATAACTCGGAAACGAAAAATCTAAAATTTATAAAAAACGAAAGGGAGCTCACGTCAATAGATATAAACAATTCACCAAAGTTTTATGCAAATTGGTTAAAGCGTTTTTTTGTTAATGTCCGACATGTTGACGACGGACGAACAGACGGACGGATGGACGGACGGATAGACGGACAGAGGTATACCATAATACGTCCCGTAAACAGGCGTATAAAAAGTAATTAATAGAAATATTATTATACATCTTCACACACAAGTACATAAAATTACAAAGAATCAGCTGAATGCATGAACATCCAACAGGTCATATTAAATGACAACCACATTCTCTTAATTTCGTTCAACTTAAATGTGTTACATATGAACAACCTACCTCAAGTTTCTGTTTGTTGCCTTCTGCAAGACTAGGATGATGACATTTTATTATTCTATCAATAATAATTAGTCTGTCACTTTCTGAGTGGGACTGTAGTAATTCTAGTAGATCTTCATAATTCTCTGGCGCTATCAATACAAAAACAAGAGTGCACATGCTGAAATGTCTCGCCTTCTTTACTAACCATTGATTTTATGTTGATAGTCCTAAATACAAAGCTTTACTACAAGTAACACATAAACTTAACATGATCCAAGAAAATGAGGTCAAGGTCAGATAAACCAAATGAGAAATACATGTACACCTTACATTCATTCAATAAACCAAACATAGTTGACCTATTGCTTATTGTTTCTAAGAAACAGTCTTAAACAAGAAAACTTAACATTGACCAATGAACCATGAAAATGAGGTCACGGTCAGATGAACCATACCAGACAGACATGTACACCTTACAATCAATTAAGGCATTAAATATAGTTGACCTATTGCTTATAGTATCTAAGAAACAAACTTAACCATGAAAACTTAACATTGACCAATGAACCATGAAAATGAGGTCAAGGTCAGATGATACCTGCCAGACAGACATATACACCTTACAATCCTTCCATACATCAAATATAGTTGATCTATTGTTTATAGTTGAAGAAAAACAGACCAAAACACAAAAACTTAACACTGAGAAATGAAACGTGAAAATGAGGTCAAGGTCAAAGAAAACCTGTGAGACTGACATGTACATCATAAAATATTTCCATTCACCATTTATAGTTGACCTATTGCATATTAGAAAAAAAGACCAAAACTCAAAAACTTAACTTTGACCACTGAACCATGAAAATGAGGTCAAGGTCAGATGACACCTACCAGTTGGACATGTACACCTTACAATCATTCCATATACCAAATATAGTAGACCTACTGCTTATAGTATCTGATATATGGACTTGACCACGAAAACTTAACCTTGTTCACTGATCCATGAAATGAGGTCGAGGTCAAATGAAAATTGTCTGACGGGCATGAGGACCTTGCAAGGTACGCACATACTAAATATAGTTATCCTATTACTCATAATAAGAAAGAAATTAACATTACAAAAAATGTTGACTTTTTTTTCAAGTAGTCACTGAACCATGAAAATGAGGTCAAGGACAATGGACATATGACAGACGGAAACTTCGTAACATAAGGCATCTATATACCAAGTATGAAGCATCCAGGTCTTCTAGCTTCTAAAATATAAAGCTTTTAAGAAGTTAGCTAACGCCTCCACCGGATCACTATCCCTATGCCGAGCTTTCTGTGACAAAAGTCGCAGGCTCGACAAAATTTAATGAATACAGCAAGAAGATTTTACTACAAGTTCAGCTTTAACTTAAAAACATGGCTCTCCATTAAAGAATTTATTATAATATTCATTTCTCTCAAGGTAGCTGGGATGTCTAAATGTACAACAATAGATTTTTCTCAAACTTCTGTAAAAGACTTCTGGGTCTATGTTCTTTCAAATTTCAAAATAAAAACTTGGGATTTTTTTGGATTTTTTTTACATTATCTTGAAACTTCAATAGATAGATAGAAACATTAAGAAGTAAAAATGCTCAGAAAAAGACACCTGTACTACCTTAAAAAGTTTAATTTGTTTTTATAGACAATAACTGTTTAGTGTCTTTAAATATCAGCTGTATTTGTATGAGGCTAAGAAACAGGAGTAATGCGAGCTTCAGCGAGCTATTATTCCTGTTTCGAGCCAAGTACTAATTTCAACAGTAAAAAGAAATAACAAAACATTGTCCGATTTAAGACAAAAGTGTTTGATTTGTCCTACGTTTCAGAATTTCGAACTGTCTGTGCATTCACTGATTATTGACATTGTTGCATGGTTGATTTTGTGTGTACACATTTACACATTCAAGTTTTGAACTGAAGATTGGCTCCGTAGAAAATGGAGTTAATCCTGCTGTTCATGTTTGTCTATGAGCAGAAAGTGGGTTGTGGATCGGAGAATGGAACATTCACAGACGGAGCAATATGTCATTGGAATGCGATTACAATACACATTCTGAGGTCACGAAAGTTCATACAACACTCGTCAACAGCAATACACAAAAATAGTCCAGCATTGGGCAGAGGTTTAAAGCGATATCTGTATAGTATACAAAAACATTAATCTTCCTGTTTTGCAACAACTTCATATCAGTGAAAAAGCAATTGTGATATTTCTGTATATAATATATTTGATATTGTAGTCATATCTAAACTTGAACACATGTTGAACTCAAAAACCTCATGGCAGTCAAAATCTTTGTCAGTTTTTTCTCTCCTGGCAATTTTCAAAATTCAGTTCAAGTTCATTAGTGTACTTTTTTTTAGCTTGTTCATGTCCTAAAGATAGCTGTAATATTGTCAACTGCATTTTAAGATTCACTTACCATTACAGAACAATTAAAAGGATAAAATAAATCAAAAAGTATAAAATGACAAAGTGAAGGCATTTTACAATTCTTGAAGATTTTAGATCTCATTTTCTTTAATTCAACTGATATATAAATATGTACCAGTGTAATAAAATATTTAATGAAACAGGGATTAGTTTATCTAAAGTAGAGTCCTAAGAATGCAAGAAAGTTAAGATCAAAATATTGATAAATTCTAACATTAGGTTTTGTCAGTTTTTATGGACTTCCCCTTTTTGTATTACCTTGGAGTCGGTATTTTTATTTTTGTAAATACTTTTTTATTACTGTTAACCATTGATCCAATACTGCTAACATGTGTATGAATAAGCATAGGTTAAAATATTAAATCCTTCTAGCAATATCATTATAACTTTCACCTTTAAATGTATATGGCAGCTCTCTTCTGGCTTCTTCCATTACTTTCTTCTTTTTCTGTAAAATAATTCCTAATATATAAATAACATTAAAGTTGAAGCTATTGATCTTTGTTTTGTGTAATCAATATTAAAATGCATTGTTGTTAATTGGCTTCACATTTTCATTAATTTTTTAGCCAAAAATCTAACACCATACAATAAAAGTGAAATCCAACAAAATTTGCACATATTTGGTGCAACATTTATTCATATTTTTATTTATATTTAAATCCAACAAATTTCACAAAAACCATATTAAATCAGTGAAAATCTTAATTTTATGAAGTTTGGTTTGACCAGGTAGGTAAATAATAAAGCTTAGGAAATCACCTCTTAAATGAGTTGTATCATTATTGAAAATGTGTTGTTTATGAAAAAATATTCTAAGTTTGTATACAAAAAATAAAGATATACTGTAATAAAAAACTAAAGATAAAATTATGAACCTTCAGATCTACTTTTGGTCTCTGTTTATCTTCTTCTTCTACATCAGATCCCTGATCTTCAGATTCTAAATCTCCATAACTATCATCACTTTCGTCTAAATAATCATCATACAACATTTTAAAAATGGGTTAAAGACTAAAATGGTAGGGTTGCATAGAATGTATCTTAAACAACGGAGAATGGTTTATAATGAACATTGAAATGGATGAAAATGTAAAACTGAAAAGTTTGGAAAAGTCTTTATACGACTCAACAATAGGAGGCGCACATTGTCTATATTTATATTTTGGAGAATATCCCAATAAATTGCTAAGGATAGGTAAAGTGAAACCCTGTTTACTTATTTTGAAATAGGGTTTACCTAAGGCCTTTAGTTTCAAAACAAACAAATGTATTTTTAATACCCTGGTTGCATTTAGGCTCATTCACATTTTCGAATATCTTATTCTACATGAATTATATATCAATATAACAAACCTCCATCTTCACTCTGTTCCTCCTCATCTTCCTCCTTTTCTACATCTTCTTCCTCACCATTCTCTTCTTCCTTCTCTTCATCTATTTCATCATCATCATTTTCCTCCCCTTCATCTTCACCAGAGCCTTGCTGTTCCTTATCATTGTCATCACCATCAGATGCTTCAATGGTTTCCTCCTTATAATCCAATGCAAAACTGTAAAACAAACTTATTATAGATATATCTTATATATTTAGACTTGGTTAGAGTTGAAGTAACATATGAAGTAATGTTTTCCATATCTTATTACCTAGGTTTATTTATATCACAGTCTGAAACTTGCAGTGAGGTGAGAGTTTTTGCTCTGTGTTGAAGGCCTCACAGTGACTTTGAGATGAAGAACAGCAATAAAAGATGTGTGAAAATGAATTTTGAAAAAATTAAATGACACGAGACACACAAAAAAGTTATTTTTGTCTTGAATTTAAGAATACGTTCATCAATGACTACATTAAAAACAAAATGTCTCAAAATTAACAAAATTAGACCAATAACAGAAAACTGTAAAACATATTCTAATGATGACAAATTTTTTCCTCAAACAACTTTGGTTCAAAATATCATGATCAAAATTAAATAAATAACAAACCCATCATTCAAGTCATCAGCTGATATGTGTGTAGACTTTTGTTCATCATCTTCCAATATGCCCTGCATTCTCTTCAATCTGTCAGACTGAAAACAAAGAGTTACATGTTCTCATAAGTTCTGTTGCTGATAATTAACATAGAATTTTTGTGATGAAAAAATCCAAATTGTGGAAAAAATATTTTAATGTAATGAGGCAAAAGTTTGTTATTATATATTCTCTGGAAGTATAATTCATCAACCCATTCATGTTTTGAATCTTAAAACAAAGATCACTGCCAACTGAAATATTTGTATTCATTCTCTTGTTCAAGTAATGTTGGTTTTGGTTTAATTAAATTTCTTATTTTGTAAGAGCCAGTGCCAAGTCATTCAGTCATTGTTACATATTATTGTCTAAATTCATTAGCACTTGTATACAAAAAAACACTAGCATCAATATAATTTATACAAGATGACAATAACGCACTCAAACTATTACAATTGTTTATTTGGTAGCTACCTCTTGTTTTTCCAGTCTTTCTTTCTCTTCTTTGGCTAACTCTTCTTCTGTTTTCAGCCTATCTGTTGGCTAATGATAAAACAATAATTAGTCAATTATGTAAAGTACAATCCTACCTGCCTTCAGAACAATGATTTTACCCATCTATTACATTATATTTCAAACTAATTGCATGAGATAACTAATCTATGCAAGAACCAAATTTGATTTACTTCTTTTTTGTGAGTTAAATCTGGTATACCATATATATGGTAAATAAATGAAAGACTCATTTTGTTGTGTTTAATACTTGTCTGCTCTATGGTCGTGTTGTTGTCTCTTTGACACATTCCCCATTTCCATTCTCAATTTTACATGTATAAATTACTTCTCTAAATTTATTGCTTATGCAATACATGACAGTGACAAAATTTAACAATAAGTGATCGCAAAGAAATAGAAAGCATTGAGATCGATGGATGCCATATCTTTAAGGCCCTGTTACTGGTAACATTGAGTGGATATTTCATAAACATAAACTTAAGGTCTGCAAGATTAAAACCAAGTTTGTGAGCCATCTTCAAGCTATATATTCCAACTTGTTAAATACAACCTTGTTAATTATAAATGTGTAACTAACAATCTTCTAGTCATGCTAGTGGTGAAAAATTGCAGATGTATCATCCCTGAACACAAAGAGAACTCAAGATATAGGGGGACACCATATTTAATAGATCTATAATTTTTTGACATGATTTTATAATATGAATCACTTGTGACATTGACAATTAAGCTAGAGATTCTAAATTTATATATATATATTTTAGTGTTGTGAACAATTACACAAATTATTACCATTACAGAGCTTGTAAAACTAAAAAATACAGAAAAATGTTTAGAAAAAAAAATAACCTGTGGTCTGAAACCTTAAACTGTTTGTTACCATGACTTTTAAGCTTAAGATTCTGTTCCATATTCAACCAGTAAATAACAAAGAAAATTTTGATCCAAAATATTGACCAATCCATTTCTAAAGTTAAACTCACCTTAGATTTCATTTCAAACTGTAATTCTCTGACAGCAATATCATAATCATCTTTCTTTGGTGTAACTGTGTCATCACCTTTTTTCTGTCAGAAAATATAATCAATGAATATAACAAATAGTTTAAAAAAAATCTGACATGGCAAAACATGACACTATTGTTTTCATTAAAACTATTGGTACAATGTACTATCTTACCTAATAGTTATTTAAAAAATGGGGTTTTAAGGCATTCAAAAGAAGTGAAACTGCGAGCTACCGCTCACTGATGATACCCCCAGCACAAATATAATAGTGTATAAATATGTAAGTGTTCGGTAAACAGAAAGTTGTTGAGTGCTGAATCTGAAAAAGCATCACATGGTATAGCTGACTTATATAAACCCTGAAACTAAATTTCAGAAATCCTTATGATGTAGTTCCTGAAAAAGATGCGACGAAAAATATTCATGGGACGGATGGACGGACAGACAGAGGTAAAACAGTTTACCCCCACTTTTTAAAGCATGGGTATAATTATTAATATACTTGTGGTTCCTGTTTGAAAGAATTTTGAAGCAAAAAACATAGTGTGGATTCATTTATTTTCTTGGATACCAATTTTCTTGGATTGAGGAAGACTTGAATTTTTCCTGGATATTTTAATTCCTGGTTTTGCCAAAGTATAAATACAAACCTAAAGAAAGTGTGTATTTTATTGAACATTTATATTAATGGTTTATCTGTACACACAAAAATTGGTATTCCACAAATAATAATGAATCCACAGTAAATAGAAAATAAATTCTAAGATTTCTTCTTGAAACATTTCCATAATTTCCAGTGTCAAAAAAATAGTGTCTTTCAACAGTCTCAAAACATTTCCATGATTTCAAGTGTCAAAAAAATAGTGTCTTTGAAACAAGTCTCAAAATATTTCCATGATTTCGAGTGTCAAAAAAATAGTGTCTTTCAACAGTCTCAAAAAATTTTCTTAAAAAGTGCTTAGTTTATTACCATGTCTATCTTCTTTGCTAAAATATATATATACAAAATGAAAGATAATTTACCTGTTGTGATAAGTCTTGTGTACAATAGTTATTAGAATAAAAAGGATTAAAGCATCCTTCATATGTGAAAAAAATTTATTACGATACAATGAATAATGGTTTTTTATTTGCATTTCATCAATTTCGTTTTGGGATTTTTTTTTTCTCAATTTGATAAAAAATACAGATTTCAAAATAAGATTAACTGTTCAGTATGCTGATAACATATAACTTTCATGTAAATCTAAGATCACACTTACCCTGCCTGCAGCCATGAGAAATCTAAGATTCTTCCATTCATCATCTAACTGCTGAGTAAGCTGAAGTGATTTCTCTTTTTCCATTTGTCTTTCATGCTGAAAAAAAAAGAAATAATTTTAACAAAACTTATCAGAGAAAACATTTAGAATGACAAGTCAAAATATAATATGTTAATGCATTACATAAGTAAACACTTTTCTTTCTTCTAAAATTAAGAGTTTCAGCAAATTTTATCCTGCAAATAATAAATTTTAATAAATTTCTAAGTCAGATAATACATTTGTATTTCCATTATAAAATCTATTGAGTACCTTTTCCTTTTTAGATTTTGTAATCAGTTCTTCCATTCTTTCCTTCCAAGATTTCTTATCTCCACCCAGTGATACATAATTACTGTTTTCCAGAAATCCTCCAAAATGTTCCTGGGATACTAGTTTACCTAAAAAAAATTAGTACATTTGTATAATATTGTATTATCTTCTCCCTCTCAGTTTCAAAAAGAGAAGTCACTTCTCCCTATGATTCTGAAGTAGTGTGAGCCCTGTGTATTAGAAAAAATATTAAAAAAATTCTCACAACTAATATTACCAGAATTTTTCAATTTGTTTTTAATTTTACAGTTATATTATATTTCTGCTTTGTTTATAATTAATGTACATGATGTATGGTCCACAAACTATGTAAAAAATAAATCTACAAGATACCACTGATAAGGTTACTGACTAGGGACAGGCACATGTTTCTTTTTTTATTGAAACCCTCTCCCTCTTTAAATCTTGATCGCTGAAAATAACAAAGGCACACAAAATACACTAGTGTACTTGTTATTTCTGCAAGTGGATACCAGTCAATATACTTTAATCATTGTCTGCCCCTCTCTCCTCCTTCAAGCAAGATGTGTTAACCAATCAAGATATCCATGTCATTCCTTCCACATCTATTCCAACAAACTTCTGATGGTATCATTTTTAATTTTAGATCATTTTCATCAGTATCACTATTATTGGCATTGATGCATTTTTATCTAGACAAAAGATATTCTCGAATTAATTAAACTGAAAACAATATTCTGTTATGTTCTAAACTCTCCCTACTATCACCTTTACATATTTGTACATGATAACATAACATGCCCATATGATATTATCCCTAATACCACTAAATAATATCAACTTTTACCTGTAAATGATAACTTAACATCCCCCATACCACTACATAATATCTTACCATCAATTCTTCCCTGGTCTTCATCATCTTCGTCACTTATTTCTGGATTATCAAACTTTTCTATTTCTGACAGAGACTGACCATAATGAGTCAGTTCTTCTTCATTATCGTTTAAACTGTACTTGTTAACTTTGTCACCTTTCTGAAGAAAAAAAAATATATTTCTCTGCTTTGTTTACAATTTAACTATTTTATTCAAGTAATCGGAAATGGATGTCATGTAACAAGCAAAGTATTGAAACTTGAAAGTATTTATTCTAGAATTTTTTGGAACTGAAAGCAAAGAAGAGAAAAACATTGCAATGCAACCTTACTTTTTTTAAAGTTGTAAATATTTGTCCACTTTGTCAGAACAAAACTTTTTACCAAAAAAATTAAAATTAAAATTGTTCATTCTTACCATTTATGTTTGTTGTTTTTGCAGATACAAATGACACCAGTACAAACGTAAAGTCACCACTTTACAAGTACAAATACTTCTATCAACGTGACACCAGTACAAACATAAAATCATCACTTTAAAAGTACAAATACTTCTATCAACATGACACCAGTACAAACATAAAATCACCACTTTACAAATACAAATACTTCTATCAACATGACACCAGTATAAACATAAAATCACCACTTTACAAGTACAAATACTTCTATCAACATGACACCAGTACAAACATAAAATCACCACTTTACAAGTACAAATACTTTTATCAACATGACACCAGTATAAACATAAAATCACCACTTTACAAGTACAAATACTTCTATCAACATGACACCAGTACAAACATAAAATCACCACTTTACAAGATCAAATACTTCTATCAACATGACACCAGTACAAACATAAACAACACCACTTTACAAGTAAAAATATTTCTATCAACATTCTTTAGTACAAACATAAAAAACACCACTTTACAAGTACAAATACTTCTATCAACATTCTTTAGATTTGTGAGTGTCTTTTAATCTATATAAAACTAAATAATTACTAAACTTTGTGGTGCCTGAAAAATACATGTTTACCTTCAATAAAAAACCTTGACAAGTTGTTGAACACACAGTATTTTAAAAGTGTTGTACATAATGATTGTTATTTATGAAAATAAAAGCTCTACAAAAATCATACTGCTCTTTCTAAGGCAAATCTTTTCATCATTTTGTCTTCAACACTAAGTGTAGCATCATGTTCACCAAATCTCTTGTCTACAAACTTATTGCTTTTAAGTCTCTGTCCATATTCTTGAAGCAATGTGTCCTTTCTCTGTAAAATATAAAATTAAACAAATATATAATTTTTCAAACTCTTTTTGAAATTTCTTTAATGACAGTTTTATTTCTTTCTTTTATATCAAAGACACTGGCATGAGTGAAGTACATTTTGCTCAATGATGTTTTTTGTTAAGTAAAACAATTTACATATAAAAATTGTTTGTAATACATGTACTGTAAATTCAGAAATTATTGTGTTTCTATTAATGAGAATAATGTGACTGGGTGAGTACCGCATTCTGATATCTGATACATATACGTATATATCTGTATGCAAATTTGCCTGCAATGGCATTAATTAATCTTGCATTTTTGTCTTTTCTTCAAAAATCGCACTAATAAATGCATGCAATAATTTATGATTTGACCATGTTGACAGTAAAAAAAATTTTTTTTTCATTGTTTCTGTAATTGTTTGCAGTAGTATAAAATGCTGACTGTTAAGGATAAAAACATAATCATACTGAAACTGGTTGTAAAATCTATTTGACTTAACACTTTTTACCTTTTTAATTGCTTTGGACCTAGATAGTCCAGGCATTCCTCTATCGTGTTTAGATATTTTACGTCCTAACACATCATGTTTTTGTCGATTTATTTTCACTTCAAATGGATTGATCTTCTTCTCTGATTCTTTCCTCTTGTTACGAACTTTATCTGCTACGTTTTTCTTTTTCTGTTTACCCATATTCTGAAATAAAAGTCATCTCATCTTAAGAAGGAAAATAAAAACATATAAGAATGTAGTGACAACTGTACTTAACTTAATAACATGAGTTAAATCTCCTCCAATATTTGTTTTGTTTGTCAGTTTGGAACTCAAAAGTATCAAAATTCTTATCATGCTTATTGCTTATTGGAGTTATTAACATCATCACTATTTTAATTCAACAAAGAAATGTTTCTCAACTGATTTTATACCAATGAATACATTTAAACTATTTATATAGATTCTACCACTACATCAAGTGTGATACGATATTTCTGCAAAAATCAATGTAAATAACAAGTTTTACTCCATTTATTACTAAATTTGTAGCTTAAAATATGATGTACGTGGTATAGACCATAACTTTTTTTTGCTCTTTGATGCTAACTATGCAGCTGTAGCAAAAAGGGGGTTTTAATGCTTGAAGGTCAAGGACATTCTTACTCTCTTGTACTGGTACTGGACCAACATCTTTAATCCCTATTGAGATTCTGAATCTGGAACATTTTCTAAGGTATCAGGTCGTTCTGGCCCCAAACCGATCAGGCCCTAAGTCAATTCGGCCTCAAGTCGATCCGGCCCAAGTCGATCCGGCCCACGACAATCCAGCCCCATAATAAAATAATGAATAATTTATATTAACTTCGGAGGATTTGGTGACATATTTGAATCAGGATAAATGGAATATGCAAAGAGTATTGATGATAAATGACAGCACGTAAATGAAGTATGCCTAATATTGGCATAACATTCAGACGATTTATTTTTATCGATACGACACGTACGAAAAGGAGTATGATTGGTACTGTTTTTGAAGAAGCATCAGCATATAAATATGAAGTTATTTTCCATGATAACTTGGAATATCATGGGGAAAACAGTTTTTATTAAATTCACACATAGAAGAGATAAACATGATAAATAGACACTTATAATCCAATGGAACATATAATTATGTAATCATCATAATGACTTGTTTAAATCAAATCATTAATCTATAATTGGTTTGTTTATTCAACAATCAGCTTGTACAGTTGTGTATGTAACTATTTGTTATTACACCAGTTGAAAGACTTGTTAAGATCACAGTCAATTGAAAAAATGCTAACTACTGCTGATTAATGTTGATGGTACTAAATTCTGTCAGAGACATATAATACAATATATGTCTCTGATTCTGTTATATATTTTTTTTATTATAATTATGCATACCCAATAGTCTTGAAAACTTGTAATTAAAACATAATCAACATAATAATTGTTTTATACTGCATAATCATCAGTATTCATTTAAGGTGATAAATTGATTTGAATTCAAATATTTCATTTCTATAACAAATATTGATATAGTTTTTAAAAAAATATTCAAATAAATGTCTCATCTTATGAAAATTAAATATTCAAATAATAGTCAAAGGCCAACTTTTTTACCGTCCACCTTTTGTAATATTATAAAATTCATAAACATTTATGTATTACAATTCATATATATATCTTTATTTTAATTCCTTATAAATATTTTTTATATTGGGGCCGGATCGACTTGGGCCGAAATGACTTGGGGCAGGATCGACATGCATGACATGAAAGCCTTTCCCAGCAGACATTTGACGTTGTATGAACATCAGTTCGACATCAGACCCTAATGTTGCGCCCACGTTAGATTTTGGTTGTATATGATATTTTTTAGACGTCAAAAACTGACGTCTACCCAACGTCTTGACATACGTCCGTTCAACGTCTGTACAACGTAGTTACAACATCAGTACAACGTTGGTACAACATCCGACCAACCAACAGGATGAACCTGAATAAGGATGTTCCACGTCTGTACAAAGTCAAATCAACGTCATAACAACCACCATTAGACCTCTTTAAATATCCTCAGATGTCTGTACAACGTCTAATCAACGTCCTAACAACCACCATTAAACCTCTTTAAATATCCTCAGATGTCTGCACAGCGTCTAACAACATCCTAACAACCACCATTAGACCTCTTTAAATATCCTCAGATATCTATACAACGTCTAATCAACGTCATAACAACCACTATTTAACCTCTTTAAATATCCTCAGATGTCTTCAGAGCTAATTAAAGACCAATGTAAATCCTTATTAACGTTCTTAAATTGGACAACTTAAGGTAATGAAACAATAATTCATACAAGTTGACGTCCTGAATAAGTGCTTCAACATCTTTAAAACCTCAGAAAACCATTCCTTCCAACAAAGGTTGGTAACCTTATAATTCATGTCTCCACAACTACTTTGCACATCAATCTGCTGTTGACCAGGGGTTCAAAAATGGTCGCATTGTCCGGGCTTGACCAGTAAATTATATTTTTGACTTGATATGCAGAGCCTGAAGTGGACATATAAGGTTTTGCTAAGTAAGTATAGGAGAAACCAACAAATATCAATTAGCTGAGTTCTAAAAAGCAGAACTATGAGCTTTGAACACTTGAAATATGTGTTGAAACAAAACAATAAATAATTGAATGAATCTACATATTTTAATGTGGTATTTTTAAAAACATCAATGTCTTATTTCTGCTCCATTTCTATTGATGTCTGCTGCTCCATCAGTTGATGTCCTAGCTTTCTTCTTCCGACCACTTGTCCCATTCTGCTAGATGGGTACTTCAGGTACCATTTCTAAAATAAAAAATGTATAATTTATGTAAAAACCAAACAGTTTAGTGTTAACAACATAATGTCATTCGGGCTACATTATCGATGTTTTTAGCAAATTTTGAGGCAAACAGTTAAACCCCTGACTTCAATAACAAATTGTTCTAGGTATAGTAAAAATATTCTTTATATCTTTTTTATATAAAGCAAGGGATCATACATTGCAAACACAGATCAATGATGGAAAATATAAAGTTTTTTTTTCAAATTATCTTGAAATATCACCGAGATCTTGACAGTCACTCATCTTGAGACACAATAATGCACCGCAAGCACCGAGATCTTTACAGTCACTCATCTTGGGAAACAATAATGCACCGCAAGCACCGAGATCTTTACAGTCACTCATCTTGAGAAACAATAATGCACCGCAAGCACCGAGATCTTTACAGTAACTCATCTTGGGAAACAATAATGCACCGCAAGCACCGAGATCTTTACAATCACTCATCTTGGGAAACAATAATGTACCGCAAGCATCGAGATCTTGACAGTCACTCATCTTGAGATACAATAATGCCCCACAAGCACCGAGATCTTGACAGTCACTCATCTTGAGAAACAATAATGCCCCACAAGCACCGAGATCTTGACAGTCATTCATCTTGGGAAACAATAATGCATCACAAGCACCGAGATCTTGACAATCACTCATCCTGGGAAACAATAATGCCCCACAAGCACCGAGATCTTGACAATCACTCATCTTGGGAAACAATAATGCATCACAAGCACCGAGATCTTGACAAACACTCATTTTGTATAATAAAACACCCATAAAAAATGTATCCTACATTGCCAGATAGACCCCTATAATTTTACTATAATTCAAAATAAATATTATTCATGTATAATTAATTATATTGATATATTTTATTTCATATTTAAATTCTTCATCAATAGATATTTTTGGCATGTTTGCTATACGCAAGAAGTAGTTACACATTGAAACTTTGTTTACATTCTTCTTCAAACTGTAATAAATTCCAGTCTTTTGTGATACTTTTTTTTATTTTACATATACATGTATATGGGTTATGTTTAGATACCAAAACTGTAGTAATATTTGCTTTTTCCTTGAATTTTATGTGCTGTAATAATTAAGTACGGTCAATTGATAAAACATCAGTATTCATGGTATGAAACACATCATCTATTTCGACATTATCATATAAACCACTTTGAAATTGGTCAGATTGTGTATTAATTTGCTATGGTCACACATGTTTCTTATGTGTATTACTTCACCGATAACATGTTGGAATACATGCTGTGAGTGTCAGCTAGAGTAGAAAAGAATTAATTTGTTTGTTTTAAATGTATTCCAAGGTCAAGAATATCATGTGTTGTAAATCGTTGACTTGTAATTGCATCAACATATATTAATAAGAACGAACTGTTATCGTTTGAATTTACATAGGTGAATTTAACTTCAATAAGGGGTTATAAATAATTATTTCAATACTTGCCAGACGAATAAATTCTTTAATTTCATCCGATGTTCAATGATACATTATTAATCCATCCTCTCTGTATCTGCAATGATAGAATTTTGGAGAAAGCATTACTATAAGTTGAAAAACTTGTATCTAATATCCATTTGTCCATTTTGAACAATAAAATATGTTTAAACTAATATTAGAATACTTTGCCACACGCTTTGGCTTTTTACTAAATCATTGTTCATAATTTTTTTAACACATGTTCCTTTACCCAATTTTCAATTTACAAGTCAAATATATCTTAAGGTCAACCTATAGTTGTTTGCTGAGGCTTCAATTATAAATTATATGTGATCCGAGATCTGATCTGCACAGATCACTGTACACTCATACTTGCGGTAACAGCGACTTATTACAGCTACAATACTGTTTACACTAAATTATCATATATCTACTATTAAAGCAAACAATAAATGAAAATTACACTTACTTTGCACTTCTTACAGCATCAGTTGTAGAAATTGTTGTTGTAATCAAATTGGCGCACATAAATTCGAAATGTCGGCCTCATACGCATGCGCCAATTGAAATCAAATCTGTTTCGTGTAATTGAAATATTTTACGGCGAAAATTATAAAACAGTTTATTCATTCACTTTAATCATATCAATTAGATATATTATCTACAGTAATTGTTGAATTTATTAAAAAAAACAAGTAAACCAATATAAATAAAAGGTTGCGTGCCTGCTGAGTATATATGTCCAGGTACGTGTTATTTCGATATTTTAGATTAATCTAGATGTCCGACCTACATTTGGAATCCGACGTTGTGTCGATGTTGTATAAGGTCGTGACCAAAAAACAAGGTTATATAGACGTCATTCTATAACGTCCAACAGACGTTTGCCAGTCGACATTGAACCGACGTTGACTTTAGGTCGCCGACTTTGCGACCTATTTTCAACCAAATATCAACGTCTGTACAACATCGGGTGCCTGCTGGGTTCTAATGGACCAATCTTGAGTTGTTTTTTTTATGAATGAGCTACAGCCTACAATGGTTGACCTGATGTTAATAATTACATTAGCATTGTGACTAAAAAAATGTATAAGAAAATGCATGTATTTGAAAGTTGTCTATTTGGGTGCCGATATGAATAGCAAGAAAATTGAGGATATTCCATGTAGTCTAGAATCCCAATACTGCAATAGCTGATTTGAATTATTAGACCAAAGCTACGAAAGGGTACATAGGTAATAATGTTAACAAATAAAAGTATTTTCTCTACTAAAGCATGCTTAAAGATGATAAGTATAATCCGTTTCTTTCTGTCTTTTCACCACAAACTATATTCAGGGGAGACAATCTAGTTACTAAGTTAGATTAAAGTATGTTATTGAAATGTGTCAATAAAATATTACTTCCAAATGATTGAAATTGAAGTAAAAAAAACAGCTAAGTATCTAGTAAATAAAACAAAAAGTTTACAGTGTATATGTGAATCTGCAATAAGTTTTAAACAACTAAACACAAATGACGTTTCCTAAGCACATGTGAATCCAATTTCAATGGTAAAAATCCGAAGTGTTCCGGAAAAATGTAAACAGGAAGTAGATTAATGTAATTTATGCAACATGTCGAAGCGAAATCCCACGGAAGGAAAACTGTTTTAAATTCCAATAAATAAAAAAAGATACGAGTGACATTAACAGTAAAAGTATGGCTTCTCCGAGAAGAGTAGTTCTGATAGCGTGTGGATCGTATAACCCCGTAACAAACATGCACTTGAGAATGTTTGGTGAGTGAACAAACATAAAAAAATATCCAACTGTTATGAAATCGAAAGTAACAATTTCTGTAAAAATATTAATTTGTAAGATAAAAGCAGCTAAACATTTAAAAAAAAAGGAAGGGATGGAACATGCCTTAAAATACAATATCCTCTGATAAATCCAACAATCTAGGCCTAGGGATCTCATTGACCTGCTTTAAAATCATATGTATGATGGCTCACCACCTGATGCAGGACGTCTTGGCCACACTGCCAGTTCTGCCACAGTTGTTTTGGCCATACTTTGTAAAGTTGTTTCGGCCAAGGTTTTCATTGTTATAAAGGGAGGAAATTATAATTGTTTCTAGAAACAAATGGAAAATACATTTTAATCATACATTTATATTCCTTGATAAAACTGTGTATCAATTGATGAATTTTATAAGAAAATTCGTAAAATGTTGATTATTGATAAAATAAAAATGAAGTTTTTTATATACAAAAAAGATATGATAGTTATTTTGAAAAGTGAAGAGGATTGTTGTTTTTTATCAGATAATGTACATATATGGCACTGGCTACGATTACCTGCAAAAAGTAACAATAAGAAATAATTATTGTTACTCCTGAGACTAATTGTTGAAGTGTATTTCCGGACAGAACTCTGATTTCATCAATACGTTCACTTTTGTCAATTAAAACAACTCCCTATTCTTAAGTATGAATAAGAATAACTCGGGCGGCAAGATGTCCAAATTGTGGCCACTGAAATGTTCATATCCTTTCAAAATTTTAATGATAAATGTCAACAATACCTAGATGCAAATATTGTACAGTTATATAGAAGAAGTTCTTGTAAGATAGGAGCACTGCCCAAATAAAAAAAAAAAGAGAGAAGAAACAAAGGTATATATAATTTATTCTGAATTCAAATATACATGCATTCATCATGTTCATGGTGGTGGCAGAAACTTTTATATTTGAAAATAACTCGATATGCAGGAATTGCCACCAAAATAAATAGCTAAAAGAATTCTAAATATTTATAAATGTGCTTTTAATTTTTATGCCCCTCTTAGGGTCATTATGTTTTTTGGTCTGTGCGTCAATTTGTTCGTTCGTTCGTCCGTCTGTCCCCCTTCAGGTTAAAGTTTTTGGTCAAGGTAGTTTTTGATGAAGTTGAAGTCCAATCAACTTGAAACTTAGTACATTTGTACATGTTCCCTATGATATGATCTTTTTAATTTTAAAGTCAAATTAGAGTTTTGACCCCAATTCACGGTCCACCGAACATAGAAAATGATAGTGTGGGTGGGGCATATGTGTACTATGGACACATTCTTGTTGATTGCTATGTTCAAGAAATAAATTTCTATTCATATAAAATTGTTCAAATGTATGTAAAACAATGTGTACTGGGCAATGACAGGACGACAGTACGCAGTATCCCGAAGCTACACACAAAAATGACATAATTTCCAAATGAAAAATTTTGCAGGTAAGAATAAAAAACGAAATTATTATTACCTGCAATTTCTGTATGAAATTGGATCCCTATCCAGAAATACATTTCTGAAATTAGCATCGGAAGTAAAAAATAATTATTTCTTATTGTTACTTTTTGTGAGTAATCGTAGCCAGTGCCTACATATAAATGTCTCTGTTCTTATCATAATAATTTGATATATATATATATATCTAAAGTATTATTTATGCTTTTGTCAAGTAATTGTTGAGAAAATACCAAACAAGATATTTGGTGCGATTGCCGATGAAACAACTTAATGCTCTGAACCTAGGTGACATATGTTTTCTTCAGTTTTCTCTATAATGTACATATGCACAAGCCATATATGTCTTTTAAAATTGTTTTCTTGGTTATCTCAATAATGCAAAGGTTTTACTAGTAAAAGTTCCATTGTGTGATTGCTATGGTATTGTCTAAGATAATATTTATTGATTTTTGTAACTAGTACTGAAAGCCAATCATATATATATATATATATCACAGTAGACTGATTAATTTCTTAAGCATTGTTAAGTGCTTTGTAAAAATACATCCATTGAAAATATCTTTTGATGTTTTTTGATTTTCTGTTATTTTTTGATACAAAAGATTAAGGCCATTTTCATAGCTAGGACAACTGAATAAGGACATTGTAACATAAGTTGTAGCAATTTGTTTCTTTCAATAAAATGTTGTGTAAAAAATAGGTGTTTCAGATATAATTGTGTTATACAGTATTTATGAACACTTTTACAGATAATATAAATGTCTTGTGTATTATAAAACTCCAATAAGCTTGTACATATTGTAGCCATGATAACTTACATGAATTGAATCCCATATTCACAAATTTGCATGATATGTAATTGTTGGCAATAGAACAATCAAATACTTGCATACATGTATATTGGAAACTTTTTCTAATAAAATTGAGAATGGAAATAGGGAATGTGTCAAAGAGACAACAACCCGACCGAAGAGCAGAAAACAGCTGAAGGCCACCAATGGGTCTTCAACACAGTGAGGAAATCCTGCATCTCTAATACATACTTAAATTATCTATTAATAACCTTCGTATAAAAATGTTTATATATTTTGCATCTTAGAGAACATTTTGTGAATTATATAAGAATGATTAAAAAATGTCCTAGAAATATTATGTAGTAATATGATATCTGAACATATTTATATTCAAATTAAAGATGCATACATTTGTATTTTCCAGAGCTAGCAAGAGATTCTTTGAATCGAACATCCAGATTTAAAGTGATAGGTGGAATAATATCCCCTGTTGGTGATCAGTATGAAAAGAAGGTAGAATAGTTTGTTATGTTTAGCAAAGTTAAAAGAATAGAATAGACCTCCAATAAACTAAAAATTAAACAGACTATTTTTATACGACTGCAAAAAATTTGCGTTTGTATATTGCTATCATGTTGTCGTCGTCTGAAGACATTTGGTTTCCGGACAATAACCTAAGTATAAGTGAATGGATCTCTATGAAATTGAAACACAAGGTTCAATAGCACAAAAGGAAAGTTGGGATTGATTTTGGGGGTTATGGCCCAAACCATTCAAGAATTGAGCAAAAAAAGTGGGAAAAAACAAGGTTTTTCTGGTTAATGGACATTACTTAAGTATTAGTCTATGGATCTCTATGAAATTGAAACACAAGGTTCCATACTACAAAGAGAAGGTTGGGGTTTGACTTTGTTGGTTATGGCTAAGACCGTTAAGGAATAAGTGGCAAAAAGGGAAGGTTGGGGTTTGACTTAGGGGGTTATGGCTCAAACCGTGCAGGAATAAGGGACAAAAAGGGGGGAGGGGGAAGAACAAGGTTTTTCTGGTTTCCGGATAAATACTTAAGTATTAGTAATTGTACCACAAGGTTCCATACCACACACAGGTAGGGCATCTTTTTTGTGGTTTTTGGCTTTAATTGTTAAGAAACTAGAGGCCAAATAGGGGCCCAAAACAAGACTTTTCTAATACTGGCTAAGCTGGTTCTAACATAAATTATTTCTGATCTATATAAAGAAACAGCAAATACTAATATGGCAGGAGATACACATCAAACAGGGTGTGTAAATTATTGTACGACCGCAAAAATTTTTTTAGGATCGTATAATGGTATGATGTCGTCGTAGTTGTCTGCGTCGTCGTCCAAAGACACATTGGTTTCCAGACAATAACTTTAGTTTAAGTGAATGGATCTCTATGATATTTGTTAAGAAGGTTCAATATCACAAAAGGAAGGTTGGGATTGATTTTGGGGATGATGGTCCTGACCGTTTAGGAATTAGGGGCCCAAAAAGGGGCCTAAAACAAGCATTTTTATATGACAAAAAAAAAATTTTGCAGTCGTATATTGGTATGACGTTGGGACGTTAGTGTTGTCGTTGTCCAAAGACACATTGGTTTTCGCACTCTAACTTAAGTTTAAGTGAATGGATCTCTATGAAATTTTACCAAGGAAGGTTGGGATTGATTTTGAGGGTTATGGTACCAACAGTTAAGGAATAAGGGGCCAAAAATAAGCATTTTTATTGTAACTTCCAGACATAACTTGTGTGTTAGTGTATGGATCTCTCTGACATTGTACCACAAGGTTCCATATCACAAAAGGAATGCTGGGATTGATTTTGGGGGTAATTGCCTCAAAATTTTAGGAATTAGGGGCCAAAAAAGGGGCAAAAAACAAGCATTTTTCTAGTTTCATGACAATAACTTGTGTGTAAGTGTATGGATCTTTCTGAAATTTTACTACAAGGTTCCATATCACAAAGGGAAAGCTGGAATTGAGTTTGGGGGTAATTGCCAAAACGTTTAGGAATTGGGGGCCAAAAAGGGGCAAAAAAACACATTTTTCTAGTTTCGGGACAATAACTTGTGTTCAAGTGTATGGATCTCTCTGAAATTGTACTGCAAGGTACCATACCACAAAGGGAAGGCTGGGATTGATGATGGGGGTAATTGCCTCAAAATTTTAGGAATTAGGGGCCAAAAAGGGGCAAAAAACAAGCATTTTTCTAGTTTCAGGACAATTACTTGTGTGTAAGTGTATGGATCTTTCTGAAATTGTACTACAAGGTTCCATATCTCAAAGGGAAAGCTGGGTTTGAGTTTGGGGGTAATTGCCCTAAACGTTTAGGAATTTGGGGCAAAAAAGGGGCCAAAAAACACATTTTTCTAGTTTCCAGACAATAACTTGTGTTCAAGTGTATGGATCTCTCTGAAATTGTACTGCAAGGTACCATACTACAAAGGGAAGGCTGGGATTGAGTTTGGGGGTGATGAAT